AAAGTTGTGTAGACATCTGTTAGGTCCATTTGATTTAGGACCTCTGTAAGTGCCTTTTTTTCCTTATTTAGCTTCTGTCTAGATGATCTTTCCCTTGGTGAGAGTGTAGTGTTGAAGTCTGCCACTATTAAGGTGTTGGGATCGATGTGTGATTTAAGCTTTAATAATGTTTCATTTACAAATGTAGGCACTCTTGTATTTGGGGCATAGATGTTCAGAGTTGTGATGTCCTCCTGGTGGATTTTTCCTTTGACAAGAATGAAGTGCCTGCCCTTATCATTTTTGATTAATTTTGGTTGAAAGACTATTTTATTAGATATTAGGATAGATACCCCAGTTTGTTTTGTGGGTCCATTTGCTTGAAAAACATTTTACCAGCCCTTTACTCTGAGGTAGTGTTTATCTTTGTTGCAAAGGTGTGTTGCAGAGGTGGATGAAGCAGAATGTTGGATCCTGTTTCTGCAACCATTATGTTAGTCTATGTCTTTTTATTGGAGAGTTGAGTCCATTGATGTTGATAGATAATAGTGACCAATGAATGTTAGTTCCTTTTATTGTGGAGTTGGTGGTATTACTGTGTTTCATTTCTTGTTGTTGTTGTTTTTTTAAATTGTTTTTTTTGTTGTTGTTGTGAAGTTATCTATGTCCTATGTTTTCTTGGGTATAGTTGTTTTCTTCGGATTAGAGTTTTCCTTCTAGTGTCTTCTGTAGGGCTGGGTTGTTATGTAGATATTGTTTAAGTTTAGTTTTGTCATGGAATATTTTGTTTTCTCCATCTATGTTGACTGAAAGCTTTGGTGGGTATAGTCTGGGTTGGCATCTGTGGTACCTTAAAAGTCTGCATGACATCTGCCCAGGCCCTTCTGGCTTTCATAGTTTCTTTTGAGAAATCTGGTGTGATTCTGATAGGTCTACCTTTATATGTTGCTTGGCCTTTTTCCCTTGCTGCTTTTAATATTTTTACTTTATTCTGTAGGTTTAGTGTTTTGACTATGATGTGACATGAAGAGTTTCTTTTCTAGTCTAGTCTATTTGGTGTTCTGTAGGCCTCTGGTATATTTATGGACATCTCTTTCTTTAAGTTGGGAAAACTTTCTTCTATGATTTTCTTGAAAATATTTTCTGGACCTTGGAGCCTGGAATCTTCTTTTTCATCTATTCCTGTTATTCTTAGATTTCATCTTTTTATGCCATCCTTGATTTCTTGGATATTTTGTGTTTGTAACTTTTCCAATTTTACTTTTTCTTTGAAAGAAGTATTAATTTCTGCAAATGTATCTTCAGAGCTTGAGATTCTGTCTTCCATCTCTTATATTCTGTTGGTACTGCTTACCTTTGTGTGGTTCCTCATCTTTTCTCTAAGTTCTCCAGCTCCAGGGTATTCTCAGTTTGTGTTTTCTTTATTGAATCTAATTCTGTTTTCATGCCTTGCACCATTTCCTTCATCTGTTTGAATGTGGATTCCTGACTTTCTATGATGGCTTCTATTTTTTTGTTGTTGTTGTTCATTTCCTCTCTATATGACACTAACTGTGCCTCTACTTGTGCCTCTATTTGTTTGGCCTGTATTTGTTTGAGAGCTTTGTTTTTTTTTTCTCTTTATGTTCCTCTAATAACTGGAAAAGCATAGCTTTAAAGTCTTTTTCCTGTGTTTCCAGTGAATTGAAATATCCATTGATTTTGGGGTTTGCTGGTGAAGCCATGATATCCTGATTTTTGTTGTGTGTGTTCTTACGCCGACCTCTTGCCATTTGCTTATCCGTAACCTTCACTGTTTGTTCCTGGAGTCTGTACTTCAGACTGGGTCCATCTTTCTCTGGTGTCTGGAATTCTTCAGGAAGATGAGGGAGGTCCACTGGTTTGAGAGTGTGTATTGATGTTTTAGCTGTATCTAAGGGAGAGGGAGGTCTGCAGGTGCAGATGCACAAGTACAGGCGAGCAAGCATAGAAGTGTGTGTGGAAGTGTGCCCTGAAGGACAGGGTGCTAGAGAGTATAGATGCTTGGAATGTGGGGCTGGGGGTGGGGTCAGGCGCAGGAAGAGGTGTGGATGCTGGCACCCTTTGAGGATGTTGGCGCTGTTCGCAGGCACTGTTCTGCAGTTCGCAGGTACAATACGCATGCACAGATTTCCTGAATACCTCAGTGGCCAGCAGGCCTGGTATCCAGATCTGTCTGGGCTTCAGGAATTGTTTGCCTGGACTCCACTAGTAGACCCACAGAACAGGGCCTTCAATGTTGAGAATGCTGTCCTAAGAATCCCTATGTTGCCCACAATGGGGCTGTGGGTGGAAGATTCAATATTTGGCTGTTAGCGTACAGGGACCCTGGATCTGGGGCTCTGTAGGCACTCGAAGTCACAATCACTGTCTAGCATGTCCAATTAGAAAGAACAGGGTCTCAGATTTGATCCTTTAGGGGTGAATGTGAGTGTAGGTGATGCATCAGCTTAGTGGTGTTGCAGCTACAGAACTTGGGGGCTGGTATAGCAGTCCACTGGGAATCCAGCCACAGCGGCAAAACTGGGAGGCTGGTACAGATGCCTTCTGGAAGTCCCTGGGGAGCCACAGACCTGGTTGGCCCTGTGCTCTGTGCTAGGTGCTGTGGGCATAGCAGGCCACCTCTGCCCTTGCCGAGGAGGGAGTAGGAAGGCCCTTCAAGGGGAAGTGCCTGGGGATTGAGTATTCATCACTCTCAGTACCCCGAGAAGTCCTTGGGTGACCTGAAACCAAATGGTCTCAGCTCACGGTTTGTCCCCTTTTTCCCAGGAAGCCTCAATGTCTATGTTCTGGGTTCAGCTGCCCCTCCATTCACCAATTTCGGAGTTTCAGATCCTCTGCCCCTCAGATATGGTGCATGCTGGTTGCCGCCATCTTGGATTTGATATATGAATTATAAAGCATGCAAATAATGTCTTGGTAAAGCTGTTTTAAAACAAAGCAAAAAACCTGACTTTAGCTAGGAATGGTGGTGCACACCTTTAATCCTAGAACTTGGGAGTGAGAGACAGGCAAGTTTCTGAGTTCCAGACCAGCTTTCACTACATAATGAGACCTTTTTTGTTTTGTTCTGTTTTGAAATGGCTTTACAATGGGGGAAAAAAAAAAAAAAAAGCCCATGTTAACCCATATTTATGGCACTGGGAATCTCATTTTAGATGCCCTAACAGCTTGCTGTGTGTGCACTGCAGTTATGAGCCTTTGCTTCATTATCTCAGAAGGGAGCTTCTATTTGGAGTCCGTTTCCATCTTCCCTCAGACAGGTTCTTTACATGTTCGCTAGGCCAGCCTGGAACTCTGGTGCTGCCTGCCTCGACTTCCTCAGAGGTGGAAAGCCAGGCATGCATCACTGCCCAGCTACAGTACTCCTTGTGGGCCAGGGACAGTATCTGTCTTGATGTCATTCTTGCTATTGGACTCAGGGTAGGGTGGGTGAGCTGGGAGGCACACATGAACATAGCATTTGTGAACACCTTCACATACTGATTGATGGAGGAGAGGAAATTAAAGCTAACAGGTCATCAAGAGTATGTGTATTAAGTAGATTGCATAGTGTAAAGATTGAGGAGCAAAGGGTTTACACAAAAGAAAATTCTAGGAACAGCTTTATGCAGGAGGAAATGAGCTGAGCTGACCATCAAATGTACTACCTGAGAAGAACATTTCAGCCGGGAACAGACTGGGTCATAGTGACAGGATTATGTATGCCCACTAAATTATATTTAATTACTGCATGACAGTGAGGAACTGGGCTTGAGTTCTGTACTCTTTTGCCAAGGTACAGACATTTGGATACCTAGAGTAGGCTTGGTTCTTACAGAGCCTTGAGAAATCAAGACCTGTTCAAAGTGCAGGCAGGTCACATATGGCAGAGATAAGAAGGTCGAATTAGAAATTGACTAATGGAGTAGCTTTGCAATGACTTGGTTAAATACACATAAGATGTTGCCCAAAGGAAAGGAGTGAAATTGTGCACAAGAGTTGAGAGGGATGTAGGGACAGAGATGCTTTTGACCTTCATGCCATTGCTGGATTATGGGATGTTATCTCTAGTATAAGAGGGAAAAAAATGTATTACTTTTGAGGCTCCAGTTAGGTAGACTTGTAAATGTGGGTTAGATCCTGGGTCCTCTTAGTGGCTAAATTCAGGCATGTAGCTCTTCAATTTCAGGGCTTCTGTGTTTCCACTGAGATGTCCATGCTAAAAGCTTGGAGGTTCTGTGGAATAGTGTATAAAGTAGCTGTGAAATACCTGAAAGGGTCCCTGTTAGGATGATGCTGGAATGTTGAGAATGTATGCTGTCACACGTGGGAGATCAGGGATGCAGTGATAACAGCCTGCTGAGACTGGGAAGAGATCACCACAAATTTATAACAGACAGTTATTCCCTCAGGCCTGGAGGCCAGAAGTCTGAAACCAAGCTCTTGGCAGGCCCAGTTCCTTCTTGGGGACTCAAGAAGATTCTGTTACTCATCTAACTCTTAGTTTTCAAAGCCTGCCAACAGTCCTTGACCTGTGGTTGCCTCATTCCAGTCTATCTCCATTTTCCCATCTCATTCTCCCTTTTACGTGGCAAGCCAGCCACTAAACTCATATTTGAGATCACGAGAATACATATGGTTGTGGCCTTCTTGCTGACAATAGACCTAGGAAGTAAAGAACATTTAGAACATGTGAGGGACCCATCCAACTGGCCTTCATAGCAGACCATCTCCAGCTTGTTGCTCCATTAGTACCGTGAATAGCTTAATTCATTCATGAAGACTGAGCACTGATCAACTGTTAAGGTTCATCTGGTCTCATATTAATGTTTTTGGTGATGAGTAAATTGCAGTATTTCATAGGAAATAAGCCATAACAAACCTTATTTCAAGTATGGTCGCAGCCTCAGGCTGGCTGGGTGGACATGAATTTTGAAAGCATACTTTTCAATCTAGTACAGTAACTGAACAGTATTTTCTAAATAAACCTAACAACTGTGTCTTTTTTTTTTTTTTTCAAGAGCACTGGAATTAAGTTGCCTTCATCAGTGTTTGCATCAGAGTTTGAGGAAGATGTTGGATTGTTAAACAAAGCGGCTCCAATTTCAGGTGAGTTTAACTTTTTGTAATGTTTATTTTATAATTGGACTATTACGTCCATGAGTACTATATGTACATGATTTCCACCCCCCACATTCTCTTCCCCTGCTCCCCATTAACTTCATGACCTCTTATTCTTTAATTATTGTTACATATATTTGTATATGTAAATATAGGCTGCTGGATCCACTTCATGTTGTCCATGTGTGTATGTTTAGGGATGACCGCTTGGACTGTGGAAGGTTCTTCCTGGAGAAGGCTGGTTCTTCCTCTATCAGCAGCCGTCAACTGTAGCTCTCGATCTAGGGGTGCAGCTAGTGATATTCTTCCACCATCTATATTGGGAGGTCACCTGGCATTCTTTTTTGTATGGATCTTATTTAGGTAACTATATGGTTACAGTTCTATGGGTGCAACTCCTGTTGTATAGAAAACACTACCTTATAATAGGCATCTAAAAGTCTTTTCAACCCCCTTCCTTGATGTTTCTTGAGCTGTAGGTGTAGGGGTTCTGTTGTAAATCTACCAGTTGGGTCTGGCCACTCCACAGTGAGTTGTTCTCTGCATTTGGACCAGTTGTGGCTTTCTGTGTTGGTCTCTTGTCTACTTCAGTGAGAGGCTTCTTTGATGGTGGGAACTGCAGTGGGAACTGCACATGTCTGTGCATGTGAGAACGGGAATTCAGAATGCAGTTGGGAATTAACACTGATTTAGGAATGGACTGACAGCAGTAGATTTTCCTCAAGGGTTCATGACCTCACCACTTCTCAGTACTTGGCTAAATTTACAGTACCGGAAATAAATTTTCTCCTGTTTAAGTTGTCTTACGTCTAACTGAGTGACTGTTAGTTACCCCAACACTGTAAGTACCACTGCTGTATCCTTACGTATCTTGTGCTGCTCAGTGTTGATGCTGTGGTTCACAGGTCTTATCCATTAAAGAAAGACTCTAACTTCTTTAAGTTTTCATTTGAGTTAAGTTGTGTTAAACAAAAAGAAGCACAATGAAGAGTTGAAACAATTGAGAGAAGTCTAGAATTTGGATAATAAAGATGAAGAGGAATTGATTGTGGCCAGCATAGTTTTGTATTATGCATCAACCTCATAGGTTTTTATAGGTCTCATTTGGTGAAGAATGTGGAAACCTAGAAAGGGAAGTTCATGTGCTCTCTTATGAAGATAACAGTGATTATCATTATTCCTTATAATTTTGAACAATAGCATATATAAGCGTTTGGAAGAAACACATTTTGAGATTCACTCAAGATGAACTGAAAGTAGTTTTTAAAGAAAACTTTCAGTACCACCATTGTAATAGTTTAAAATGAAGGTCTGCAGAAGCAGTATTTAGTATTTTTTCCTAAGGCAACCAACAGTTGCCCTTGTAACATTCTTTCATTAATTTATTCTATGGAGTGGCCAGTGTATAGTACAGTCTTGAGTTAAACCAATGTAAAGCATAGTCCCTAACCTGAGAGAATTTCTGTCTGTTAGAAAGATACTAAATGAGATATTACAGTTGTGACATAGGAGAATAAATTTAAGGGGCACCAGACCTGGCCTTGGGAAGCTGGGCAAAGGTTTCAAGAGAATATCAGAGTTGGCTTGTTGCTTTTGTGGTTGTTCTACTCATGAACTACATCCCTGAACCCAGTTGCTTTCTGATGTAGAAAGCAGGTGGAAGGAGAAAGGAGAGAAGGCTGGTAAAAAGATGTTCCAGACAGAAAACTACCTGTAAAATGAGAGAGTAGAAATACCAGATACTGTATACATTTTAGCATTCTGGAATGGTATGAAAGAATGAATAAAAAATGCAGCTGGAGAAGTAGGCAGGGGTGGCATAGCAGACATTATTGGCAGGCATGTCAAATGAAAAGTTTGAACTTTAAATATTTTCCTTAAATAGAATTATATAGCTGAAGAAAACAGCTGGGATTCATTAAAATTTGTAGTCCATATTTGTGAACATGTGAAAGTCACCAAACATTTATTTCTAATAAATGAATTTGAAGCCTGGATTCTTTCTTCAAGTGAAAATTTAGGAGTTTCGCTTAGAAAGTCAAAATAATTCAAAATGGAAGTGTTTTTACTAGGAAATATTGAAGAATAATGGGTATTTTAAAATTCTCTTTACTGAAAATGGACTTAATTTTTTCAATCTTTGTTCTATTTGCAGTATGTAAATAAATCAGATTGTATAAAGTAAATGGACTATGCTTTCTTCATACCCCCCAGAGAGGCCAGAGGGCCTGGGGGCTTGTTTTGTTTTCTTTGTAGCAGTGTAGCCCAGGCTGCCATCCGGCTCACAGTGACCTTCCTGAATGCTGGGATTAAAGACACCAGTTTTGCTCAGTGTCTCTTTTCCTTTTAGGCCCTCGACTAGATTTTGATCCTGATATTGTTGCTGCTCTTGATGACGATTTTGACTTTGATGACCCAGAAAACCTTCTTGAAGATGACTTCATTCTTCAGGCCAACAAGCCAATGGGAGGAGAGAGGATGTATGTGTGTGACTTCTCTAGTGGGAGGGGAACCACGCTCTAGTAGGAAGACAGTTTTGAGAACATGTAGTCCAAGATGTCAGTATTAGAGCAGAACATAGTTACATTTGAGCCATACTATCAATATCTGGAGCTAAAATCACAGAATCCTGTTGGCTGGTTTCTTTTCCTACCATGCCAGATGAGTTCAGTGCACCTGAGTCCCACTTCCTCTAGAACCTCCCGCAGAAGCTCCAGCTTTACAAAGTTGCTTTGCTCTGTTGTTTCTTCTAAGTTCTTTTGATTTATGACCTGTTGGCTTTAGGGAATCAGAGAGTGAAGATGGCAATGAATGGGAAGATGTGGACAATGAGGAAGGGAGCGATGATGGCTGTAGCTCTGCAGGCCCACTGTCAGATGGAGGTGAGGTATCTGTCCCAGGTTCACCTCAGGAAACCATCAAAAAGCACCTGTTTTGGGAAGAGGAAACCAAAAGCCGTTTCACAGAATACTCCATGACATCGTCAGTCATGAGGAGAAATGAACAGCTGACTCTGCATGATGAGAGGTTTGAGAAGGTGAGTCCTTGAGAGATGTCACTGAGTGTTCTCCATGCTGAGGAAATCTGGAGCCAAAGTTAAAACCAGCAGAACTAGAAACTGCATTTCATATTAACATCACCCAGAGCAGCACCCTGGGCATCGAAAAAGCTCTTAGGTTCCAAGAGTTGACTGGTTTAACATCCTGACATCTTTCTCTGAGGTTTTTGTTTTTTAATTTATTTTTATTAATTACAGTTTATTCACTTTGTATCCCCCCTGTAGTTCCCTCCCTCATCCCCTCCCAACCCTACTCTTCTCCCTCTTCCCCACCTGAGCCCCTTTCTCAGTCCACTAATAAGGGAGGTCCTCCTCCCCTTCCCTCTGATCCTAGTCTATCAGGACTCATCAGGAATGGCTTCATTGTCTTCCTCTGTGGCCAGGTAAGGCTGCTTCCCCCACAAGGTGAGGTGATCAAAGAACAGGCCAATCAGTTCCTGTCAAAGACAGTCTCTGTTCCCATTATTATGGAGGCCACTTGGACACTGAACTGCCATGGGCTACCTCTGTGCAGGGGTTCCAGGTCATCTCCTTGAGTGGTCCTTGGCTGGAGTATCAGTCTCAGAAAAGACCTCTGTGCCCAGATATTTTAGTTCTGTTGCTCTCCTTTTGGAGCTCCTGCGCTCTCCAGGTCTTACCATCTCTCGCTTCTTTCATAAGATTCCCTGCACTCTGCCCAAAGTTTGGCTATAAGTCTCAGCATCTGCCTCGATACCCTGCGGGGTAGAGCCTTTCAGAGGCCCTCTCTGGTAGCCTCCTGTTCTGTTCCCTGTTTTCTCCTTCCTCCGATGTCCATCCTCTTTGCCTTTGTATCTGACTCTAATCTGCAAAATTTCCTAAGAGTTGGCTGGCATAGCATAAACAAATTTCCTTTTTGTTATTGTTTCTTCAGCTATAACTAACACTAAGAACAAACAAACAAAAAGTAGGGTATGAGATACTTTTAAATCTTAAATTATTCCAGATTTGACTCTTCTGTGACAGGCCAGCTCCTGGTTTACAATACTGTGTGAATCTCTTCACCCATTCTGTGCTATAGCTCTTACTACTGTGCTCATTCATGTACATTAGCTGTAAGTTAGTTTGTATTGAGTTGGGATATCATTCCTCCACAGGCAGAGATTCTCAAGTATACATTCAAGCACTCAAGTAGTAGTAGTGTCTGGCGAGTAGTAAGATATGATGCTTTCCCAACAACAGTGAGCAAATGAGGGAATGCTTTCCTTCAAGGCGTATGGAATAGACAAGTTCTAACCTTGCTGCGATATCACAGAAGTGCTAGTTTCTCTCTTCTCTGTCAGGGGAGGCTAGCTGTTAAGCATGCTCACTCATGAGGAGATAGAGTATTCAGATAGGCTTTTGAATAGTAAATGTCATCTGAACAGAAGTGAAGTTTATGCATTAAGCTTTATCCAACAGCGTGATCATTTTGCCTGCATCACTCAGGGATGTGAAATTGTCTTCAGAGTGTCCTGAGGCAAAGATCTCTGGATAACATGTTACTGTCCTATCTGAGTAGAATAAGTGCTTTTATTTTCATGTTAACTGGAAGCCCATTTTTAGTCTAACTATAAAACCCTGAAATATGTCTTCTTTGGGACTGAAAAGGGGGCTCAGGTTAAGAGTCTATCATGCTCTTGCAGAGGACCCTATGCCTTCTGGTCCCAAATGCACTGCCGCACTGGTCCATGTTCGTACATGCAGACACTCAAACATGTAAAAATAAAGCTATAAAAAATAAAATGCCTTATCTGCATTGCCAGTGGTGCTTCCTCTCTCCTCATACACTCATGATAGCTGTAAGCTTTTAGTACTATTGAAATACTATGTAAGAGTAAAGTTAATACAAATAAAAATACATAGTGGTTTGTTTTTCAAGACATCTTTTTTTGTTGTTGTTTGTATTCAAGTTTTATGAACAGTATGATGACGTTGAAATTGGAGCTCTGGATAATGCAGAATTGGAAGGTTCCATTCAAGTAGACAGCAGTCGGTTGCAGGAAGTTTTGAATGACTACTACAAGGAGAAGGCAGAGAAGTATGACAGCTCTTCCTTCTTGAGCGGCTTTGTTTTCCTGCTTTCAAATGACCTGGGTCCACCTAGTCAAAGTCTCCTCCTATTGATCTAACATCATTGTACAATTTCGGAGGTTATGGTAAAAGATAATAAATATATGAAGAGATGTTGGAGTTGCAAAGTAATATGGTGCTTTTAGCTTTAGGCTGAAGAATCATAACTTAGTGTCTGGTTTCTTCTTTTATCTCAAGTGGTGGGTGTTCCAAAAAGTGGATAGTTACGGCTAATAGATAAGCTTCTCTCCAGTTGATTAGCAGAGCTCAGCAGTGAAGTATTTGCTCAGTCAGCATCTGCACCAAAGTGACTCTTATCTGAGAGATGGGGTTTTAAAATGTGCTAACAGGTCTTATTCCATGAAACACTGCAGCATGCAATTTCCATATTGCAAAAGGGGCCATAGGCTCTAAGGGAATTCTGCGCATACTTTGGAGAGATAGATGAACAGCTGATGTTCATCTTACAGAATCTGTCACCTTGCACAGATGCAGCTAGATCTACCAGAGCAAATGAGCAAAATCACTGGAAGGGTAGGGCAGGGATAGCTATAGAGACATGGACCAGGAACATGGCAGGCACAGGAATAGGATTTCAAATTGCTCTGTCCCTGTAGCTGTTTTAGTGACATGGAATTTAATGTTTTCTTTATCCTTTTTTCATTTTATAAAATGTACCAAAAAAGTTGTGTAAAATTGAGTACTCTTGAGCCGTTTGAGGATCAAGAGCTGCCAATGAATGAGCCTGATGAATCTGAAAAGGAAGAGACCACTACTGTAGTTCTTCAGGGAGCCAAAGAGAAGTGGGATTGTGAATCTGTTTGCAGTAAGTATCTCACTGTCCAGTCAGCTGCCAAAAGTCTAAAAGTAATTTAAAGTCATTGTGGGAAAGTAGATATGTTTTAGTAAAAGTTAACCATTGAGGGAGTTTGTGCTAGAGAAAGACTTAGAAAGAATATGACTGTTCTGTCACTACTGAGTTATAAGTAATTTCAAAATGGTTTTCAGAGAGGCTCTAAAGTGATTTTGTATGCTGAAAACACCAAAATTAGGAATATAGTGTAAATTGTAGGTGCTTTTGATGAATTTACAGTATATTTAAGTGACATATTATCTTCCTTTTCAAGGTACATACTCCAATTTATACAACCATCCACAGCTTATCAAATATGAACCAAAGGTAAGTATTGAGATCCTAGAGCTCCATTTTTAGGAATGGAGAGGTGGCTTAACAGTCAAGGTCACTTCCTGCTCTTTCAGAGTTTGGTTCAAACACACATCTGTGGTAACTCCAGCTCCAGAGAATCTGACGGCCTCTTCTGGCCTCCAGGTGCACCCATGCATATGCCATACATTTGTACAGATGCACACACATACAAATAAAAGCTTGTCTTTAATCCTCTTTCTCACAGTAACTTTATTCTTTGTGGTTAGCAGTGCTGTTAGGAAAAGCACCAATAGTGCAACATTTGTGAGCTGAATAGGAATAGGAAATAACTCTGGTGTTATTATACCTTTGTTTCAGCCCAAACAAATCCACCTATCTTCTAAAACGGGAATACCTCTCAGTGTTTTACCTAAGAAAGGCCTCACGGCAAAGCAGGTTGAACGAATGCAGATGATCAATGGCAGTGATCTGCCCAAGGTGTCTACCCAGCCACGTTCCAAAAATGAAAGCAAAGAGGACAGAAGAGCAAGAAAGCAAGCCATAAAAGAGGAGCGGAAGGTAACGGTGCCTTCTGTTGTAGGGCTTGCAAAGAGCTGTTGAAAGGGTGTGGCATAAGTTTTCTTTTGTGGATGTAGTCTCTCCATATAAATGTATAAACATGCAAGTAACATAAAGATCCTCTTGTACAGGAACGAAGAGTTGAAAAGAAAGCTAACAAGCTAGCATTCAAACTGGAGAAAAGAAGGCAAGAAAAGGAGCTGCTGAACTTGAAGAAAAATATTGAGGGGATAAAGCTATAGGTGTTGAACATTCAGTATAAGTTGTATTTCTGTTTTGGTGGTTTTCATTATGCTCCATAATTAACCAGGATCTTAAAAGCGGTAAACTTGTCCCCATCATTTTTATATGCAAATAGCTGAGAAAAATAGAGGATTTGTATTTTTATGCAAGTGAGGTTCTCTTGCCAGCTATCTTGTAAATACTGTAATGTTTTAAGTTTAATATTGTAAGCTTATATTTCCTCTGAAATAAATGACTTCATGAAAGTAAAATGTTTGGATAAATTAAAGGAAAATGTCTTCACAACATGAACGGAATTGATGTGTTCATTTATTTGTATGGTTGTCAGAGTTGTTCTCTGCAGATGTTCTCAGATATTTCTTTGAAAGCTCTCCACGCCTTCTTGGGAATTACATGGTTTAATTTGCCGTCTGTAGAGACATGATCTGCTTAAGCTCAGTTGTGAAATGCTGGGTTCATTCTCAGTGGTGAGAAGAGCATCCCTGAGAAGATTCCAGGGTAAGAAACTTACTTTCCTGTGTACACAAGCGACCCTTTCAAAAGGACTGTGGAGATGAGCCCTGCAGTTGTCAGGGCAGGGGTTTCCTGCCCTGAGACCAGATGGGTTTTTTTCCTTTGGGATTTAGGAACAGCATAGCTGGAGTAATCAAGAACACTTACTTCACTGTAACTTAGAAAGTTTCTCTTTCCAACATTGTTTAATGTTTGGAACCATCACAGTTTATTAAAATACAAACTCAAAAGTTTCCAGGTTTTGATGAGATGTTCTTGTTTTGACATCTAGAGACTGATTCAAGGTTTAGGCAGTGACTCCATCATAATATTCATTATTTGGTAAGCTGTGACTTCTTACTGGCCTTTGCTCATTTGCCCCTGACCAGTGTGAACACTGTTGGTCAGAGTGGGGAACAAAATGACTGAGGCACAGTCAGTTGTGGCAGGTGAGCTACACTCGATGCTTGATTTTTATAAGTGTCACCACCTGTTTATTGTGTCTTTCCAAAGCTTGTTCAAAGGTTTATTCAGTTAAATCCAAATTACTGTATTTCTTTTAGAGTTCTGAACAACAATGATTTACTTCTGTTAACACTTATAACAACCAAAAATAAAAAATAAAAATGCATAGTTTGTCATGAGGAAGGGTAAGATGCTGACTGTGTTCTAATGCTAGCCAGCAGAAGCGGAGTTATTTGCTGTTTTATATCAATTCTGGAAATATAGATTCTAAAGAGATGGGCCATTATAATGTTGACCATCTCAACAGAAAAATCTCCAAAGCATGGAGAGTCCTGGGCACAGGATGTCACTGTGCCCTGGTCCTATTCAAATTCATCTATTTTGTAAATAAAAGAATACAACTCAGTGTCAAGTCTTTAGCATATTGCTATGGAGGCTGATTAATTTAGCTTAAAGATTGTTAATTCCATTCTGGAGAACAATTTTGTAGTGTCTTGAATGAATTTCCTGATGTTTTATTCTCCTACACACACCAGACCTGGAATCACACACACTCAAATACTCAGTTTTCACCCCTCTGTAAGCTGATGAGACCTGAATACACCAGCTCTGCTGACCGATAGGAGCTCACAGAGATAGAGGGATTTTGCCTTTAAGAACTAAGAGTTAAAAATAAAAAAGTAAAAAAAAAAAAATTCAGCAGCACAGACAAGTGCTGATGCCATCACTGTGAACCCCACTTGTGATGAGGACCTGTTCCCCTGAAGTCTTCAGATAAACCTTTCTCGAGGTTGGCGCTCGTCGTAACCTTTGTTTTCACTAACACTTCTTCCCCTGCACTGGGTTCTCTGTAACACTGTCATACATGACAGTTTCTCAGGCTCCTCTGATGAGAGAAAAGTTGGAGGGCAAAACTTTGCTTTACCACTTTACCCTCTTGCCCAAGCTAGTCGCTGGAATTCAGTAAATAGTCTTAAGTGGCATATGTATGGATGGGTACAGGGTAAAACACTTCATAAAAGAACGGCTTAAACTTTGGGATTCAGTGGTAGAGTGACAGGGGTTAACAAGGAGAAAGGGCCCCAAGTAGGCATTATGAGGTTTTGTTCTGTTTTATTGTACGTGTAGATGTGCAAGCCATGGTGCATGTGGAAGTCAAAGGAGAGCTTTGTGGAATTGGTTCTCTCCTTCCACCTTCATGTGGATTCCAGAATTGAACTCAGGTCATGGATCTTTTATATCAACCACTCAAGCCATGTCACTGGCCATGCATACTGAGTTTAGACTTGTTTGAGCATTGTCCTGGCTTGATTTCAAAGCCTTCTTTTTAGACACTTTGGTAGTATTATAATTGCGTGTGTCTTCACTGCTGGTGAAGCCATTTTTGCATGCTCTTTTGATGTACTCTATAGATATTGTGGTTAGGTACAACCTGCATTGTGATATCATCACATCGCCTCAGTTGAAAGCAGCTCTGATCCCTAGCCCCTAGCCACACAGTATTGTTTTTGTTTTTATGTGTTGACAGTGGTTTGCTTTAATGTGCCTGTTTGATCTACTTAGAGGGCAGAAGATAAGGATTCCCAGTGTTTTGAAAATTAGTTGTGGAACATGGTAAAATATGTAATTTGCAAATACATACCTGTTATGCAAATAATAGAACACTGAGGTAAGTGGCCTCAGGATCCATTCTGAATTTCTTTTTCCTCTTACTCATTTATAAGCTGCCCAGTCCATTACACTAAACATTTACTTTTTCTTTAAACCATTTATATGATACCACTAAGCACAACTTCCTTATCTTTGAACAACTAGAAGCAGGAACCTACCTCTGTGAAGGCAGCATTTGCATCTAATAGTTGAGATGCCTTAGAGATGACCTAAACAGCCCCTAGGTCTGACTTCAGCTTTCAGAGTGTGTGCACCTGTGTGCAGATATCAGCGAGGGAGGTGCTGAGTGACTCCTGGAAGCCTTCACCAGGCCTTTGAGGACTCCTGCTTACAAGCTGCGTGCTTCACTTGTGTTCCTGTAGCTGAGCTCTCTAAGACCTACCTCCACCTCCATGTCAGTGCAGAACTGCAGGGCTAGCCCCAAATGGTTCTGATGTTTAGAATAGTGATGCATGTTTGTAAAGATAGAAGGAAAGGAAGAGGAAAAAAATGCAGGAAACTAAAGAATGCTTATCATTTTTATTCTTACCATCCAGATGTAGTTACTTTGTATTTGTTCTAAATAAAACCATCAACATGTTATGCACAAATCTTTTGATTGACTTGGTTTCAAGATTTTTTGGTTGGGGGAGACTGGTTGGTTGGTTATTTTTTGTTTGTTTGTTTGTTTGTTTTTGTTGTTGTTGTTTTCTAGAAAGGATTTCTCTCTGTAGCTCTGGTTGTCCTAGAACTTACTCTGTAAGACTAGGGTGGCTTCAGACTCCTACCTCTGCCTCTTTAGGTGTGTGCAACCACACCTGGCTGCTTCTGCTTTTATGAGTCTCTGTAATCTAGGTTAAAGCTGAGCTCAAGGCAGTCCTCCTGCCTCCTAGTGTGGGCATTACAGTGTGAGCCATTGCACCTGCTCTTTTTAATTGGTATATTCTCATTCATTAGTCAGCAGCCCACATCCTATGCGGAGCCACATAGTGTGCTTGTTTGTTTGTTTGTTTGTTTTGCTTTGTTTTTTGAGACAGGGTTTCTCTGTTTAGCCTTGGCTGTCCTGGAATTCACTCACTTTGTAGACCAGGCTGACCTCAAACTCACAGAGATCCACCTGCTTCTGCTTCCTATAGTATGCTTTTTTTTTTCTTTCCAGGTCATGTGACCTCTGCACAGCTGCAGAAAGTGTGAAAGCAACAATAAATACGAGTAAATGAGTGTGTGTGTGTGGGGGGGGGGTACTCCAATAACACTTTATTTTTAAAAACATGCAGTCTCCGGTGTGAGTCACAGACCACAGTTTGCTCACTCCTGTTTTCTTAAATGTTTCATTTTCACGAAATATACATAGTATTGCAAAAAGTGACAGTACAGCTAAGAGCTTTCTTTCACCCTTAACCCAGCTTTCCTTCAAGTTTCTTGAACAGCTATACTACAACATCCAAGCTGGCAAATGTCCTTGTATAATGTGTGTTCTTAGCTCTGTGCCCCATCACACAAAGGGAGAGTGTTCTCTCCATCTCACATTCAGCTTCCTCTGCCACCAACCATTCCTACAGCTTGACAATCTAGTGTTCTCCCATCCCTGTCATTTGGCTTTTGAGGATGTTTTACAAATGGAGCTATGTAGCATGTAACTTGGCTTTATCTCACTCAGCACTGAGATCCTTTCAAGCTGTTGCATGGGTCAATAGTATTCCTTTTTTTTTTTTTTTTTTTATTGCTGTGTAGTGTTCCAAGGTATGGGTACACCACAGTTCATTTAGCCTCTTATCAACCGAAGGGCATTTTGCTTGTTTCAAAGTGTTATTTTAAGGTTGTGGTGATCGAATCTTCTGTTTGAGTCAGTACAGAGTAGGTGACACTATAGACCTTGAACTTTATGTGACTCAGCTGTTGTGGCAGATACTCTCTTCATTCCTTATAGACAAGCTTCTGACTTGAATGTCATTTAGAAGGGGGTGGTCTATCCATCTCTTAGTTTTTTGTTGTTGTTTTGGTTTAGGACTTTGTTTTTTGAGATATGGTTTCTTTGTATAGCCCTGGCCATCCTAGACTTGCTTAGTAGACCAGGCTAGCCTAGAATTCACAAAGATCCACCTGTCTCTGCCTCCTGAATGCTGGGCTTAAAGGCATTCACCACCATGACTGGCTCATACCCAAGTTTTTAATTGGATCATATCTGTTATTTTAAATTCTTTGAATTCATTAAAACTCACTTATGTAAACCAAAGATCTTTGGTCTTCTGGAGGTTTTCAGGCTAGCGGGATATCATAAACCTATCATTGAAGTTCTGTCTTAATCCTTGTAGAGACAGAGACTTGGGTTCAAATCTCAGTGTTACCACTTGCAATTTGTGGACTAAGATAAGTCCCTTAACTCTCAGCCTCCTTTTTCTCTGTTAAAATGGCATGAGCCCTGTCTTACAAGGCTGCTGTGAAGAGCCCATGAAATAGCCTAGAAAAGACATGAAGAGAAAAGGAGAGAACCTTCAATAATGTTAGAGAAAAATGACAGTTTCGAATCAAGCAGTACTCATTAACAAGTGTGGGAACGCTAACTTTGCTGAAATTTTTATTTTTTAATATGGAGTTTTGCCAAAAGGACAGGAGGGAAAGTGTTTCTGTGGGCTGAGGTGGATGACCTATGCTGAAAACACAATACCAATTATCAGACCTGTGAAGAAATTTTTTAAATCAACAACGTCTGCACAGCCTGCCATCTGCTTCCTGTTAAGCAGATCTCCCCTTTTTCACATGGTTCCCCTGTTGGTTTCTGTGGCCCTGTCCTCTGCTTCTCCTGGCTCATCACCATCATTTTTTTGGCCTTAAGTGGAAGTTTCCCTAAGGATCTTCTCTTCTTCTCTTCGCTGCTTTTTCCACAACTTCTTCCCTGGCAATGTCCTGCTTTACCTCATTCCCCTACATCTGCATCCCTCACCCTGACCCTCCCTCCTTTCCATTCTGCTGGATGGACAACTCTATTGAACTAAGTATTTCCAAGAGTGTGGTCATTTTTCTTCCTAAAATGAATTTTTTTTCAACTCCCTGTTTCTATCCACAGCCCCACTATCTCCTCAGGCTTCCTGCCTGCAAACTTAGCATTTCCCCAAGTATTCATCTTTCTGTCACTTCCTCACCCCCAAAAACTCTAGTCATGTTGAAGGTTCTTCGATACATCTGTCTCCTTCCCTTTTTGATTAAGTTTCCATCCCAGTTTTCAAATTAACATACCCCTGTCCATCTTCAAGTATGTCATGTGAGACCTCCACGGCCCTGCGCAGGTTCCCTGGAGGACCTCCATGGCACTGATGGCCCCTTTTGTCTGTGGAGTAAAAGCCATATTTTTGTTTCAGTATGAAATCCCCATGCTTAGACTTGAACCTTTAAAAAAAATCTTTATATACACAAATTCCAACAAAGCAAAAATAAGTACTAAAATGTGAAATCTTAGAAGTCCATAATATTTTACTTTTCTCTAACTTCTTTATCTTCTAAGTAATTTATTTTCTAAGCTAGCAACAGCTCTTCCCATTTTCTGACATTTTTCTGTATCGGACCCATGTATGGGTTTCTTTCAGTATATTTAATTATTTCTTGCAAGATCTTTTGTCCTGTGCTAGAAATTCAATTTTTGTTTGATTTATATCCTCAAGTAGTACTTCATTTTTTTATTTTTAAGGTGTGTGTGTTTTAGTGTGTGTGTTTATGCTCATGCTAGTGCATGCGTGTGGCAGGGAGGTCAGATTTGATATCAAGTGTCTTAATTGTTCTTCATTTTAGTTTTGGGGACTCTCACATGAACCTGGGTCTCAGTCATTGACTGGGCCAGCCAGGGAGACCCCAGGATCTGCCTATCTAGCTCCTTTCAGTGCTGGAGTTACAGATGTAGGCCATGATGCCAGCATTTACCTGAATGCTGGGGCCCTAGCTCAGGTGTTCACGCTTGCACAGCCAGCCCATTACCCACTGAGCCAGCCCTCCAGCCCCTTCCAGAGCACTCTCCAGACATGGATCAGGTTTCCTTGAGACATCACTGACAGTCTATGTTCAGTCTAAGCAGAAACCCAAAGACATTACCATCAGATAATTTGTGACTTTATGCTAATATGTTAACTCTAGTTATGTCTAATACATGGCTCTCAGCACCTCATTTACCTACTAAAGCAAATAATTACACTCCGGTTGCCTCAAGTTTGTGTAATTTCCTTGTTTGGTGAGGTGAGAACTTTCTGTTAGGAAAAGAAAACTTGTGGGATTGCAATGGCTCTTCTGAGGAGGAGGAAGCAGGTGGTGGGGGATGGACAACTGCAAGGCTGTCAGGCGACTGAGGTCACCTGCAGCCACTCATCTTTCCTCAGCCAAGCAATTGCATGAAACTTAACATAATGTGCTCTTGAATCTCCTGCAGATGGCAATCAGAAGTTATTTCCCTGTGAAGTCTGTGGGAGATGGTTTGCAACAGATGTTCTGGTAAACATAAAGACGTTTTGTAGATGTGTTTCATTGGAGTTAAATGAACTGTCAAGTCAGTGAGGAGGCAACGGTGCCAAGATTAAAGACAGATGTGGAGGGGGTGGGAGGAGGAGTCTGTAACCTCTGGCTTCCAGGCCTGGAGGACACTGGGGCAAGCTGGTTATGCCACGTTCAAAAGTGACCGTATTAACTATGGTCTCCCTGAAAGCATGCCAGATGGAATGGTCTTGGCACAAACAATTATCCCTTGAGAGGTTTTGTCTCTTCCGCCTTTTCTTTAAGCATCAAAAATTCAAATTTCAAGGCCAAAACACCAGGGAAATTAGCTGGTGGAGAGGAATGAGCATTGAATTTCAGGCATCTGGAAACTTGGCTCATAGCTGCAAATTTGTCACTAATTCTGACAAGTCCTGTAACCTTCCTGTTTTCTGCCTTGCCACGTACACGGAACTCTGATTTCAAGGGGGTTTTATACCATTAGAACAGATAATGCATGGATACAAGCCTGCTCCAAGATCTAATTTTCCAGATATGAACTAACTACATTTTGAGTTCCCAGGCTTTAAAGTTGAATAAAAGTTTGGATTATTTCAAACTTGAGGGACAGGAAGGGCTATAAACAGACAGTCCACCCTAACATTGTAAGGAGGTGGCCAAAAAAGATACGTGTTTAAAAAGAAACTCTTAGGATGATAGTGAAATCATTTGGATATTTTAGATCATGGAATACTATATTGAACTTGCAGGATTTAGGGTTTAAATGACAAGGTACCTCCAAAATGAGGTTGCAGTTTTTGTTTTTCTGGGAAATTTTAGAAACAAAGTAATGTTTGCCTCTGGATAAACTGTGCTCAGAGGCAGGGCATGGGAAACAAGAGAATAAGAAGCACTCTTCAATGGCCTTTGCATCAACTCCTGTCTCCAGATTCCATCCCTGTTTGAATTCCTGTGTCAACTTGCTCTAGTGATGGACTGTGATCTGGAAGTGTAAGCCAAATGAACCCTGTCTTCCCCAACTTGCTTTTTGGTCATGATGTTTCATCTCAGCAATAAAAACCCTAACTAAGAAAACAAACAAACAAACAAAAACAAAACAACAACAACAAAAAACTGTGCTCAGAGCTCCTAAGGCTACCAGTGAGCTCATCCAGGCCTGTTGCAGCCCAGTGTCTACCCGTATCTCCCAGCACACTGTTACCTTTGCCGGCTAGGAACTGTGCCCCTAAGAGGTGCTGAGAGCCAGGTGGTGCCGTTGGATAGAGGTCACTAGATGTCACGGATGCTTTGCACACCCTTGAGTCTCACCCCTAGATAGAACACTCACACACATGGTCTGCCAACTTCTCCTGTAGTCTAACGTGGATGACTTGCAGGAACACAGATTTTTATAGAACCTGCATTTTGGAGATCTAAACAAAGCGACTTTGTAAATGGTAGGTCTTGTGTAAAAGGACAAAGATGTGTATGTGTGCCCTAAAGGCATGGTAACCAACTGCATTAGGTCATTGTCTGGTGCTGGGATGAAACACTCTGACGATAGGCAATTAAGGAAGAAAGGGGATTTTTTTGGCTTATGGTATCAGTCAGAGAGAACCCATGATGGCCAAGAAGACATGGCATGGTAGGCAAGGTATGACAACAGGAACAGGAAGCTGGCCAGTCACATTTTATCTACATAGAGGAAGCAGGAAAATGAACAGGAAATAGGTCAGCCCTTAGAAATAGACTTTCTGCAAGGCTCCATCTCTAAAGGATTCCGTAAGATCCTCACACAATGTCCCCAGGTGGGAACCAAGTATTCAAATGCATATGTCTATGGGTGACATTTCTTATTCAGAGCACCATACTTTATTAAGGAGGTACCAAGCAGAGGTCTATGTTTCCCTTTTTTCTTTTTTTTTTTTTCTGTTGGAAATGTTGAGTATTTAATAGATTACTGGCTGGAATAAAGAGCATATAACCTAACTTTTAGCTTTTGAGGTGTAAAATCAAATTTAAAGTAAAACACTAACTATTGTGTTAACTTTCTGTCACTATAACAAAATACCTGAGATAATCACAACATAAACAGAAAGGATTAATTCTGTCTTGGTTTTAGAGCTGCCATTTCATGAGCAGTTAGCCCAACTGCTTTGGTCCTATGTTTCAGCAGTGAAGACAAAAAGGAGGCTAAACGTTCTCATTCATAAGCAGTAAGCAGAAGAAAATTAGAAGGGTCATTAGTGTCACAGTTCCTTGAAAAGATACATCCCTGATGAACAAAGATCCTCACAGTGAGATTTCATTTGCTTTGCTGTTCTGTTTTTGAGACAGGATCACTTGTATCCCAGACTGCCTTATGCTCACAACCCTACTCCCCTGCCTCCCTAGTACTAAAACAGAGGCCTGCACCACTATTCCCAGTTTAGACCTCACCTCTGGGAGGTTCCAAAAGTATAGGAAACTGTAAAGCACCTCCTGACTTTTTCTAAGCACAGTATTGAGCTACCCGACAGGGCTGAGAGAGCTGATGGATTTGCCCCACTGTGGTCTAGAGTTAAGAGAATAGACTAAATTCTCTAGACACTAACCAGTCCCTGTCCTGGGGGCTAAGAATGTAGTCATTAAAACTTGGTGACAGTACATTTTCCAAATCAAGTTTCTACCCTTCCTTATCTAGGAAAGACATGGACCCATATATAAAAAGATATTCAACAAAAAACGCAAACCCTTCGATTCCTTGAAGCAGAGATTACAGGGAACTGACATTCCCACCGTGAGTATGCCTCCTCAGTCCAAGGTATGCCAACCATTCCTTTATTTATCATTATAGAAAGTACATTTAAGCTGGTTGCTTGGCTCTCTGTTTTCATTTTTGCTTGATAAGGCAGTGTAATGGCATTTCGATATAATCCACCTTTACTGTTTTCTGTATAATCTTACTTAGATTTTTAAAACAAATTTTAGATCCTTTCCAGATGTAGTAAAAAGAATCCTGTTTACATTTTCATAGAATGCCTTTCAGTCTAGAAAGTGACCTGGGAAAAAAGTTCTCCCCCCCCCCCCGCCCCAGATAAGGTTTCTCTAGATAGTTGAAGCTGGCCATGAACTGACTACATGGCCTAGCTAGCTTTAAGTTCATGATCCTTCTGCCTCAACTTCCTCAGTAGTGAGACTGCAGGTGTGCACCATACCAGTAAGAAAGTCACCAACTGGACTAGCAAGATAGCCACCACCAAGCAGACCTACTGAGTTCAGCCCCAGGCAGCCATGCGCTGGAAGGAGAGAGCTGACCCTGAGAGCTGTCTTCTGCCACTAGTGCTGTGGTCTATACGTAGCCACACCCAAAAGTAAATAAATAAAAATTCAATTTTCAAACATAATTTTAAAAAAGCAACCTTTAATCTTGCACCTGTTTTTTTTTTTCTAAAGTTCTATGGTTTTATTTTTTTCTTTGATTTTTATTTTATGTTCTTTTGTCACTGTTGTAACTTGTGAATGTTATAGCTGTAGCTTTTTTTAGGGGGGGGAGATTTTTCTGTCTCTAGAACTTAGATGGTCCCATTTGCTATAATTCAAAACCTAGTTATTTAAAAAAAAAAAAATCAGTTGATTGGTATGTAGTCTAGGCTAGTAGATGTTACTTTGGTTTTGTTTTTTACAGGCTCAGCCCGTGAGGAAATCTAACTGGAGACAGCAACATAATGAGTTCATCAATGCTATCCGATTGGCAAAAGAATGCACTCTAGCCATTAAAGAAGGCTGGTCCCTTCCACCTCCTCCCCCTCCAACCATCAACCCAGGTGTGTGGCCGCTTGGCTTGCTTTTGAGTTCAGGATTGACTTTTAGCCATATAAAATGACAGTAATAGTGACGAAGGTGTAATTTTACCCATCATACAAGTAAATCCATGCAGCACCTATTCCCCTTTCTTCCAGTCCACAAAGCTTGTGTGTTCCCTGCTGTCTGCTCCACCGTGACACTCCATCAGGAGACATCATCACACCTGGCAGGCTCGGCACATACCTACGGACACATCATTTGCACTGTGGCTGAGAAACTGGAAACTGTACACTGACTCCTAGGATCAGCAACCTTTGTTTGCCAGTGCTGATCTTACAGAGTTATGCACAGTTTAAATGGCTTCACAGCTTTCTTACCCAAGCTTTGTGTTTTGAAAGTTTTCATACAAGTCTTTGACTTGCTTGGTTAGGTTCACACCAAGGTACTTTATGTCATTTGTGGCTATTGTGAAGGGTGTTGTTTCCCTTTTATGTCATTTATGGCTATTGTGAAGGGTGTTGTTTCCCTTTTATGTCATTTGTGGCTATTATGAAGGGTGTTGTTTCCCTAATTTCTTTCTCGGCCCTTTTGTCTTTTGTATACAGGAGGGCTACTGATTTTTTTGAGTTAATTTTGTATCCAGCCACTTTGCTGAAGGTGTTAATCAGCTGTAGGAGTTCCCTGGTAGAGTTTTTGGGGTCACTCAGGTATACTATCATATCATCTGCAAATAGTGATACTTGGACTTCTTCCTTTCCAATTTGTATCCCCTTGATCTCCTTCAACTGTCTTATTGCTCTAGGAAGGACTTCAAGAACAATGATAAAACAGGGTCAAATGAAAGGGGAGGAGGTCCTCCCCTATCAGTGGACTTGGAAAGGGGCAGGGAGGAGACCAGGGAGGGAGTGTGGGGTTGGGGAGGGAATGAGGGAGCGGGATACAGCTGGGACACAGTTAACAAAACGTAACTAAAAAGAAAAATAAAATTAAAAAAAAAACAATGTTGAAGAGATATGGAGAGAGTGGGCAGCCTTGCCTTGTCCCTGATTTCAGTGTGATTGATTTAAATTTCTCTCCATTGAGTTTGATGTTGGCTATAGGCTTGCTGTATATTGCCTTTACTATGTTCAGGTATGTGCCATGTATCCCTGATCTCTCCAAGACTTTAAACAGGAATTGATGTTGGATTTCATCAAATGCCTTTTCAGCATCTAAGGAGATGATCATGTGGTTTTTCTCCTTCAGTTTGTTTATGTGGTGGATCACATTAATGGATTTCCGTATATTGAACCACCCCTGCATGCCTGGGATGAAGCCTACTTGGATATCTTAGTGGATGATATCTTTTATAAGAAAGAGGACAGAATAGGACAATAATCATTTTCAAACCTTCTGAAGTCTAAGGATTCTGCCTCTCTGTCGCTGTCTGTCTGTGCTATGCTGTGCTGTCTGTATCTCTCTTTCTCTGTCTTGATCTCTGTGTGTCTCTGTCTGTGTCTGCCTACCTCCCTCTCCCCCTGTCTGTCTGTCTGTCTCTCTGTGTTATATTGGGTCACATACCAATATAACTTGAAGATATATAACACACACACACTTGAAGATCAGAGGACAACTTATAGAAGTCATTTCTTTCCACTGTTGAGGGTTCAAAAGATCAAACCAGGTTGCCAGGCTTGGTGCTTGGTGCCGGCACCTTTGCTCATGGAGCCATTGTAATGACCCTGGAAGAAGTCTTTAAAAATGAAGTTTTAGATATCAATACTTTATCCTTGGCCATACCAGTAATTCATCGCTTAAGCAAAAACACAGGCTCATGTTTTCCAAGTTATTTGAAGAATGTTTTTAAAGGTTTTACCCACACCCCCACCCAGCCAGAATCCAGAATCTAATTAAAGTTCAAACGTTGCTTTCTGTTGTCTTTCCAGACATTTCTCAATTTTCTGCTACACCTTTGCCCAACCATTTAACTTTTATAATACTGTTCTGTGTTTGTCTGCTTGTTCAGTCAGATTAATGTTTAACTTGTCTCTCTAACCCATCTTTCTATAAGTTGGAGGTTAGAGCATCATGCTCAGTTAGATTAATTTTAATCTCTTGTCCAATGTGGAAGTTGCAAATATTTTTTTCTTCTGTTGTGTATTGCCTTTGGATTGTACTAATAGCCTTTAGTTAAAGCACAAAATTTTAAATTTTGTACTACTTTTTCTTTTGTTCTCTATACTTTTTCATGTTATAGCCAAAAAATATCACTGCCAATATATATTGCCAACATTTATCCCCTGAAGATGTTTTGGTTTAGGGAAACGACCTCATGTAGCTCAGACTGACCTCAGTTTGCTGTGTGGTGAAGGATGGCTCTGGGTTCTTGATCTTCCTCCCTCCACCTCCCACTTGTTGGGATGACTGCCATGCACTAGCCTGCCTAGCTCTTTGTGTTACTTATTCTAAAGTTCTAGGATTTATTTGTTAGGTGGCTGGTCTATTTCAAGTTAACATTTGTGTGTAAGGAAAAGGTTAGGCTTCAGTCTTACTCCTTTGCACACTGATAGCCAGTTTGCTCAGCTCCATTTGTTGAAAAGACCATCCATGAGGGTGACAAGAAGCAAATGTGGGGAGCATATAGGACATGCGTCAGTGGTTCTCAACCTGTGGGTTATGACAGTTTTGAGGGTAGCACATCAGATGTCAGATATTTACATTACAATTCATAACAGTAGCAAAATTACAGTTATAAAGGAGCAACAAAAATTATTTCATGGTTGAGAGTCACCCACAACATGAGGAATTATATTAAAGCATTAATATAGAACTGTGTCACAGAATTAGAAGGTTGAGAACCTTGATACAATTGGTCAAAAATGTTATCATGAAACCTAACACTTTGTACAATGAATTTACAGCAATAAAAAAATAAATAAAATTTTAAAAAGGCCATTCCTCCATTCTTACACAGTATCATTAATCTTATGAAAAGTAATGTAGGGCCCAGCAAAGTGGCACTTGCTGATAAGCTTGACAACTTTATTCTATCTCTAGGACTCCTGTGGTAGAAGGAGACTCTCACATGCTCCCACACACAGACACATACACACAAACAAAGCATCTTAAAAGTTTTTAAAGTCAAGTAACTGTAATTTGAAAGATCAATCTCTCTGTTCTGTGCCACTCATCTCTATCTGTCCTTATGCCAGGACAACTCGATTTTGATTACCATAGGATTAAAGTAAGTCTTGGAAAAAAAAAAAAACTGTGAAGGTTCCATATAGAGAAAGTTGTTTGGGATGTTTGGGGCCCTCTGACATTTCAGATAAATTTTAGTATTTTTCCCCCTATTTCTACAAAAATGTGACTTTGGGGGCTGAAGAGATGGCTCAGCAGATAAGGGGGCTTATTGTTCTTGCAGAGCACCCAGGTTCAGTACCCAGCACCTACACGGTGGCTCATGATACTCTCTAGCTCCAATTCTAGATGCCTTCTTCTAACCTCCACAGGCTCCTGCCCTCACATGATGCACACAGACAGGCAGACTGTCTTGGTTATGTTCTATTATGATAAGATAAGAACAAGGCAATTTAAGGAAGAAAGAGTTTATTGGTGCTTACAGTTTCAGAGTTAGAGTCCATGACCATCAAGACAGGGAGCAGGGCAGCAATTAGGCAGGCATGACACTGGAATAATAGCTGAGAGCTTATATAGTAACCCACAAACATGAGGAAAGAAAGATAATTGGGAATGGCATGGGCTTTTGAAACCTCAAAGCCAACCCCCAGCAACACACTCCTGTAACAAGGCCACACTTCCTATTTTTTCCCAGACAATTTTATCTACAGAAAACCAAGCATTCAAATGTCTGAACCTATAGGGGCCATTCTTATTCAAACCACCAGCCATATACATGTACACAGAAAAAATTAAAGAAATAGTATTTTGAATCTACTTTGGAATTTTAACAGGAATTTCACTAAACCTGTAGATGACTTTGGTTAGTATTGTTTTTTTTAACAATATTGTTTTCCAGTGTGTGGACACACACACAAAATGACTTTATATTTATCTATGTTTCCTTCTTTCACCATTTTTCTGTGTAAAATCTTTCGCTTTCTCACTTAAATTTATTCATATTGTTTTTATATCCATTTTAATTTTATAGAAAATGGAAATTTTTGCTTTATTCATGATTCATTGTTTGCATATAAAAATGTAGCTTAGTTTTGATATATCAAATATGTATCCTGTAACTTTGCTGGATTGATTTACTTGGGCTAGCCCTGCTTCTGCGGACTCATTAGCATTCTGCATAAATGTCACCTGCAAACAGATGTTATTCTCCCTTTTCTTCTTATATGTCTTTTTTTTCCCTTTCATGCCTAAATTCTGTCTAGTACTTTCAATACTGTTAAATATGGGTGGCAAGGTTGGGTGTTCTCATCTTGTCTCCACTGAGTACAGTGCCACCACTGTTTTTACGTCACTGTTTCAAGCAAAAATAATGGCATTCTTGGGAGGATTTTGACACGTGAAATGAAATGTGTGACACAATGGCACAAAGTTGAATGGGGAAATTAGATATATTTTCCAGGTTTTTACACAAGAATAGATGTAATATCATGTAAAAAAAATACATTGGGGTTTGCTACAGGAATCATTCAAAAATACAAAGGTATACCTGGTAGACTTTATCAGGTATGAAAAATGGGGTTGGGAGCAGAAAACATATAGGAAAAAGACAAATAGCAATGTGCAGGTTGGAAAATTGCATATTAATGGCATATTCTATTCTGATGAAAGACAGACACTGTCAAGCTAGGTAATAAAGCAAGAGCCAACAGTATGCTTTTTACAAGAAACACACTTTAAGGACAAAAACCGAAGGCATGGAGAAAGAGGCAAGCAATAACCATAGAACCAGAATAGCCTGCTTAGCAACAGGCAAAACAAACTTCAAGGTAAGTGTTAACAGAGATAATTCAAAAGACACAGTCATAAATAAAATAAAAAATAAAATAAAATAATAAAAACT